CTCTGATGTAAATAAGCACTATCATGTTAATATACACAAGAGGCCCAGGGGCCACAGCGCTCACCTGAGCACATCAGCTAGGAAAAAGCTGAAAGTTAACTTAAGTTGGGGGGGTGGGGGGGGGGCTTGAATTTTAACCCCCAAGGGGATCATAATTTGAACTAACTAGAATCTACATTACCTGAGGATGATTCCATACAAATATAACTAATCCTGGCTTTGTAGTACTTGAAAAGAAGATTTAAAAAGGTTTCCCTATATATTTCTATGTAAAACTTTGGTCGGCCATTTTGGCCCCGCCCTACCCCCAGGGGAAATGACTTGAACAAATTTAAATCTACAATACCGGAGGATGATTCCACATGAGTTTCATCTTTCCTGGCCCAGTGGTTCTTGAGAAAAAGATTTTTAAAGATTTTTCATATATATTCCTATGTAAAACTTTGATCGGCCATTTTGGCCCCGCCCTACCCCCGGGGGTCATGACTTGAACAAACTTGAATCTACACTACCTGAGGATGATTCCACATGAGTTTCATCTTTCCTGGCCCAGTGGTTCTTGAGAAGAAGATTTTTAAAGATTTTTCCTATATATTCCTATGTAAAACTTTGATCGGCCATTTTGGCCCCGCCCTACCCCCGGGGGTCATGACTTGAACAAACTTGAATCTATACTACCTGAGGATGTTTCCACATGAGTTTCTACTTTCCTGGCCCAGTGGTTCTTGAGAAGAAGATTTTTAAAGATTTTTCCTATATATTCCTATGTAAAACTTTGATCGGCCATTTTGGCCCCGCCCTACCCCCCGGGGTCATGACTTGAACAAACTTGAATCTACACTACCTGAGGATGATTCCACATGAGTTTCATCTTTCCTGGCCCAGTGGTTTTTGAGAAGAACATTTTTTAAAAATGCCAATAATTTTTCTCTAATTCATGATTATCTCCCCTTGGAAAAGGGCGTGGCCCTTCATTTCAACAAACTTGAATCCCCTTCACCCAAGGATACTTTGTGCCAAGTTTGGTTGAAATTGGCCCAGTGGTTCTTGAGAAGAAGATGAAAATGTGAAAAGTTTACGACGACAACGACAACAACGACAACGACGACAGACAACGGACAAATTTTGATCAGAAAAGCTCACTTGAGCCTTGGGCTGAGGTGGCTGACAAGTTCAATTACAGGCAGATGCACAGAAAAATATGAAGTTGACATCAGATACATATCAAAATTAATTCCACCATATGGCATGCCTCAACTAAGAGTGTAATAAAATTTTAAGCATCTGCTATGAATATAGCTAATGAGAAAACTGCGACAATTTTTTTTTATGTATGAAAAGGACAGTCACACAAAGAAACAGGAAGTTGACATCGGATTTGAATAAAAATATATATATCCCAACATATGGCATGCCTCAGAGAAGATTGTGTTAAAATTTCAAGCATCTGTGATGAGTAGTTGCTGAGAAAACTTCATCGAAAATTTATGTATGAAACTGACAGACACACAGACAAACAGGAAGTTGACATCGGATTTGAACAAAAATGTATATTACAATATGGCATGCCTTAAAAAAGATTGTATCAAAATTTCAAGCATCTACGATGAGTAGTTGCTGAGAAAACTGCGACGAAAATTTGTTATGTATGAAACGGACAGACGCACGGACAAACAGGAAGTTGACATTGGATTTGAATGAAAATGTATCCCACCATATGGCATGCCTCAGAGAAGATTGTGTTAAAATTTCAAGCATCTACGTTGGGTAGTTGCTGAGAAAACTGCGACGAAAATTTGTTATGCATGAAACGGACAGACGCACAGACAAACAGAAAGTTGACATCAGATTTAAACGAAAATAAATCCCACCATATGGCATGTCTCAGAAAAGATTGTGTTAAAATTTCAAGCATCTACGATGAGCAGTTGCTGAGAAAACTGCGACGAAAATTTGTTATGTATGAAAAGGACAGACGCACGGACAAACAGGAAGTTGACATCGGATTTGAATGAAAATGTATCCCACCATATGGCATGCCTCAGAGAAGATTGTGTTAAAATTTCAAGCATCTACGATGAGTAGTTGCTGAGAAAACTGCGACGAAAATTTGTTTCGGACGGACACACGGACACAGAGCTACACGGACAGACAGACAGACACACAAGGGTAAAACAGTATACCTATCCTTGGAGCAGGGGTGTAAATAGATCTGTATGAACTTAAATACTGGCGAATTATTCTGATGCCTACCATACATCTGGGGTGATGGTATCATTCTGGTGACTCCAGGGCACAGATTCGTAGATGGCCTCTCCATTGACCCCCAACCATTGACCCATTTGTTTCAGTCTCTCCTCAAACACAGGTGCTATCCTCCCATCATGTGTGGGCCCTATGTTAATGAGCACATTTCCTCCACAACTAGTAGAAAACAACATTAAAATATTATTGAATGGATATTATATTCCCTACATGTATTTACTTCTTCAGGATTATCTGTTTTGAACATACCAGTATGTCATTGTTTTTGACATTAATCTCCAAAAATTTTATATCTTAACAAATTAATCTGCTAGTACTTGCAGATTACATTATCACTTGGTTATCATCTTCATATAATCTAGATGATCATCCTATCAACAGTAAATATGAAAATGACTCCTTGATTGATGAAAACAGCATGAATTAACACCAATACTTCCTTTTATGCTCAAAAGCATATTACTATCAGTACATGTTTATCCAGTCAAACTTCTTTGCAGGGAATAATTAACAAAAGTAGTTTTAACAAACAGAGTCAGCAAAGGAACCCTTACACTCACACTTGTTTAATAGAGGAAGTAATGTACAGGGGCATATCTTTGTAACTAACCTGATAATTTAAGTTTTATATAAGGGTCTTACTTTGAAACTGATTAAATAGTTGAAGCTACATGTATATATAAGGAGCTATCACTGTAAACTGACTACCAGGTATATAAAGGGAGCTAACTCTATACACTGCATAAACTGACCAAACAATTTAAACTATGTAAAGGAAGTTAACTATGTATATTTACATTTGCAAATGTTTTCCTTTATATAACACTACTAAAAGCAGTGCGTAATGCGTTTTACACATTAAAAGTCACAATCAGGCAAGGATAAAGTATGGATAAGTCACAAATGTAAATATAAGTAATATTAAGGTATCATTTTAAAACATCTATCGGGCTAGCTAGAAATACAGGTTGGTACTCGTATTTATATCCCGATAGATGTTTAAAAATGATACCTTATTTCTTAAATAAACTGACCTAGCTGTGTAAAGGAGCTAACTCTGTATAAACTGAACTAGTACTTTAAGCAATGTAAAAGGGAGCTAACTCTGTATAAACTGAACTAGCATGTGTATAGGGAACTAACTCTGTATAAACTGACCTAGCATGTATAAAGGGAGCTACATGTAACTCTGTATAAACTGACCTAGCACGTGAAAAGGGAGCTAACTCTTTATAAACTGACCTAGCACGTGTAAAGGGAGCTAACTCTGTATAAACTGTACTAGCACGTGTAAAGGGAGCTAACTCTGTATAAACTGTACTAGCACGTGTAAAGGGAGCTATCTCTGTATAAACTGAACTAGCACTTGTAAAGGGAGCTAACTTTGTATAAACTGAACTAGCACATGAAGCAATGTAAAGGGAGCTAACTCTGTATAAACTGAACTAGTACTTGAAGCCATGTAAAGGGAGCTAACTCTATACCTACCTTATTAACTGAACCTAACAGTAATAGCACTTTAAAGGGAGCTAACTCTTTATAAACTGGCCATGTAAAAGGGGGGGGGGCTAACTCTGTAGCTGACCTAACAGTTAAAGCAAAATTTAGGGTGACAACTCTTTAACTGTCCTAGTTACATGTATAGCTCTGTAAAGGGAGTTAACTGTGTGATTGACCTAACAGTTGTTAATTAAACGGACATTATTTTGTAACTACTTCCTATCTGATCTAACAGTTATACTTATATAAAGGGACACTACTCTGTAACTACTCTATGACTGACCTTACTGTTGTAGCTATGACTTTTGCTATGTCCTTCATTGTAAGATAGTCAGAAATGACTGCCCTTCTGCGGTATCCCCAAGAAAACTTGTCAATGGTCATCGCATTTTCCCACTTTTTCTTTTGTAGTTTTCCTAAATAAATAAATAAATTTTTTTAAAAATATTAAATTAAAAATACACTCGTCTTTCCCCTCTTCTTTAATCAACTTCCATATTAAACTACTTTTTAAGATTTATACAAGAAAGTCTCCTTCTATTGATATCTGCAGTAGTCTGAGTTAATTCTTGTGCTGGTTTCTTTATGTTTTTCTCATCTTATAAACAAGTATACAGTGTATTAATCTAGCTATACAAACCTGGATTAAATCTATCATCACAATTCAAAAATCCTGCGTGTTTACACCTGATGTTGTTTCCCCATCGATCATTTACAGCCACTGTGTCTTTCACTGGACTGAAACAGGTGAAAAAAAATTTACTTAATATCTCAAAGAATTCTTCAGCTTATTACAATCTGCCAAGGCATTATAATTTCTAGGAATATTTAAAATAAGAAATAAATGAGCTTCACAAAATTATTGGTCTACTGAACAGGAATTAAAAAGTAACTGATCTGTATTTATAACTGGATTTACATATCTAAAGTTACAAGAATCATCTTCTTCATTTCATGAAACAATAAAACTTCAAAGAGTGCTGTTTTTCAAGAGAGGTCCTACCTTTCACTGTACAGTCAGGCCAGAAACTGTGTAGCATTGATAGCGTTCTATGGTGTGGGGGTGTTTATTTACCTTTCATTATACAGCCAGGCCAGAAACTGTGTAGCATTCCAGTATACGTCTGTTGTTTCCCAGTCTCCGTCCGACCACACAACGTCAGGTTTATATCTGTTAACAAGTTCATACAGCTCTGGCATTGTCTTTGTCTGCATAAAACGTGAACAAAAATTATATACATGTGCTAAATTTATTTGTCTACTGTAATGGTTCAAAAATGAAAATTAAATTCTACTCCTCAAAAAAAAAAATCTAAAAGATAAAAAACAATCAAATTTATAATAAGATTTATTTGGTGTAGTGTAATTAATTTTTATCAATGTTCTGGGTATCATATTTATAGCATGTGCAGCAAGTTCTATAGAGCAGACCAACAAACAGGAAATTCAAATGGAAATGTGCATACTGTAAAAGCAAATGTTCCAATTTCTAGAATTCAAAACGTAGCTGTCCTTTTCTTTACAAGTTATAATAACATTTATAAGTAGACTTAGAGTTAGTCATAAGTGCTGAAACAAGAATCTTGCTGATGCAGAATTCTGTGTCATATCCCTTCTGTTGGTTCTTACCCTGACAAAGTCCTGTGCTGTGTAGTTATTGGCCTTGTCTTTCTGATACAGTGGATGAAACCATTCAAATAAGAAATGGTGCAGACAAAATGAATATCAGTCTTATTCTTTATTGAGTCCGCTAATTCTCCTGGAAAAGGTATTTATGAATGAACGTTTTATTCAACATACATGTTTCTAAATTAAATAAAAACTAGGGCTGGGTATTGACCACAAATTTTGTATTGTGATATATTGTGATATTTTTAACTGTATTGCAATATGTACAGTTATTTGACCAGTTTCGAATAACAAACTGATTCGGCAGTGCTATAAATATATGAGGCATTAATTCAAAATCTAAGTTTTTGTCAACGTAGTTCAATGAATTGTGGAATTAAATATTGTTTAAGAAAAGTTCAGCCTTCCCCCCCCCCCCCCAAGAAAAATTCGCAAGTTAAAAAAGGTGTTCATCTTACCAGTTACGAATAAGCCGACGAGTTCCGGATAACCTAGAAATTCTTATTCAATTCAACCCTAAATTAAAAAATCTGACGCCAAGACGTTATCCATTGGCATGCAAGAAAAGTTAAATGAATTGCTTACCAATAAATTATTTGTATTTCTAAAGGTTGAAAAGAAACTAGAGGTACTGTGGGCACTGACTGAGCTCATTTTAATAAATTACCAGCCTCCTTTATGATTATTTATGACAAAATCCATGTTTTGCTCCGGGAGACCCAAGATAGGTGTCAGATCAAAAAAGTAAAATAAAAGGTCACAATGTGATAAAAAATCATGAAAGTTTCATTAAATCGTATTCAGTGGTATAGGAGGATTGCGGATAAGAGATGGATATACCTTTCAATATTACAAAGAATGGCAATATCTATGTTTTCTCAGGGAGCCCAAATTATGTGCCAGATCCAAAAATAAAATAGGTTGATTTTGTCACTGTTCAAGAAAGATTCTGTGAACAACTCATTAAATTCTGTGAAGCCTCATTAAACTTCGTTCAGTGGCAGAAGAGAGGTTGTGGATAAGAAATGGATACCCCAGAGCGTATCAGACGGACTGACATACAGAGAGACGGACGTACCGACGTACAGATAAATGAATGGACAAACATTCCATTACTACATACCCCTTCTTCCTGGTTTTCAAGCGGGGGTATAATAAGTCAAGTTTACAATGAAGAAAACAATGAAGAGTGAATTTATAACAGTGTTTAAAATGGGTAATCGGAACTGGTAAAATAAGAGCATGAAAATATTTCGATATCTTCCAGTGTTCTAAACATTTATTTTTGACAAATTTTTAGTATATGTTAGAGTACATATCAAACTTACTTTTGATACCTGGAACGTTGTCTTATGTGAAAAATGTATGTATCTACAGAGCTTTTTTTGCAGACTTAATTAAGCGTCGCGGTGATTCAGATTTGTTGCCTTGTAAAAGTATGTCGACTGTTTCAAGTATGATTACGAAAACAAACTGACGGCAAAAAATCAAAACTTCACATAATTCTAACATTCATAAATAAGCCTTCCTACCATAGATAACAATTTATTTTTACACCATTGGATTTATTCATTATCTGCTCTTAAATTGATAACTATTCCGAACTAGTCAAAATTCGGAACTGGCCAAACGACTGTATTGCAATATTTTCAACATTATTAAAATGGCATTTTCTTATGAAAAAAAACTTTAATTTATATGAAGAACATACATAACTATGATGAATTAACAAAAGGAAAAAAAATCTTGTTGATTTTATTAAAGCTATGCTCCGGAACACACCCATAAAATAGCGTCTTTCTTACTGTTTGGCTTCTTAACAACTCTTCTTATATTTATTTTTATATTTAATGATAAAATTCCTTAGTTTAAGCATTTTGACGTTGTACCGATATTACAAAAAGGTATTGCAATATGATATTTTTGTCCTTGTACTGCAATATACTGAAATACATGTATCAATAATTTTGCCCATCCCTAATAAAAACACACTTTGGTGTCCAATACAAGTCTTAATGTGTACGTATTATTTATCTTTCATGTCCATTTCTCAAACTAAAGAAGAATATATTGATGTGCTGCACTTGGATAAAAAATTTGGCATTTTTTCCAACAAATTATGACCGTTAATAAGTTAATGTTCCATAAGTCTACTAGTCATGATCTATTCAAAACATTATAAGAAAACATTAGTTCTTTGTGAACTAGCCTGCTTTGTGAGATTACATATTACAGAGCACCAGTTCCACTGACCCACAATATCTCTGTTAGGTCCCACATCCCCAGAGTTCCAGTTGAAGGAATATTTGGACGGCCAGTTACAGAATCCCTCATGATGCTTGCTCACAAACACAATGTACCTACAGGTAAAATTATACAATTCTGTTATTGTTGGACTATGTAAAAAAAAAAAAAGAAACTAAAGAAATGATGACAGATTTTCTTAATCTTGTGATAACAAAAAGTAAAGTACTTTGCAAAGTGATGTCTCATTATCGTTCATTCTACTTCTGGA